CTTTACTCATTTGCCATCTTGCCAGAATTCTTTATATATTTTTAATTTTTGCAGACACACACCATTTGGGTTTGGCATATACTTTCTACTCTAGTTTTGTGGATTGTGGTTCCATTACAATTTAATTTTCAGAAACATTGTGATACTCTTTGGTCTGCTTAATTTTTCCTGTGAGAGTTAGTCCACACTGGTCTCTATTCATACTGCTCAAGGAAACAGAAGCAGCTTTTCCAGGCCAGGGCACCTAGTTATTCTACACCAAGAAATCTCTGGTCCCTTGGGTAAAGAGAAATCTCTAGACCAGTGGTTTTCAAACAAAAACATAAACATAAACATGTCTGCAGCTGTAGAAAGATTACAAATGACTGCTCTATGTTAGGTACCTCGTGTGACAGAATCTCTCCTGATCGAAGAGATGGAGAGTGTTTACTAGATTGATTATTTTGTGTGTGTAGTTGGATGCCTGTTGCAGATACTACCTTGGTGCCCCGTCTCCTGGGTAGGATAGAATGGTCTCAGACCATAGCAACGTTGGAGACAATTTTCCAGGTAGGAACGTCTTGTGGTTGAGATTCTCTTGGGTCCCTGTATGTCTGGGGAAGGGTGTCTCAGACCTAGTGGTGAAGGAGAGCACTTTCCATGGTTACTTACTGGCTGGACTTCCAGTTGTTCTTCTGGTAGCTTTTTAAAAGCAAACCTGCTATTTTTAGTAGAACCCTATTTGATATGATGGAAGAAAAGCATATTTGAACCACAATCTCTGACTATTTTTGGAATTAAAATATGTTGATCCTGGGTCACTTTTGTCTGTTGCATGGAGGATCTGTGACATACTATCATACAATGCCTTCCTATGAAGTTGTTCACTGATCCTGATACTTCCTAACTAATTTACCTTCTTTTGTCATTTAAGAATTCTTTTTTGGTTGTCTCATATTTTAATAGGATATATTGTTGTAGAGAGGTGCAGGAAAGAGACTTTTCACTATCTTGTGTGAACTGAAACTCTTCTCTGTACCTTTAAAGACCTCACCAGATTAGGCAGATCCACTTTAGATAATCTCATATATATATATATATATATATGTACATATATATATATGTGTGTGTGTGTGTGTGTGTGGCCCTCCCCAGTATTGGAGATGATATGCCATCACTTTCTCAGCTCTCTCAGATACTCAAGATGAGGGGTTATTAAAGGGTAATTGGGATGGACTGAAGAGAGTTCAGGAACAAAGATACTTGCTTTGCATATAGTTACAGCAGTTGAACCCCAACACCATTTATGGCCTCATATAGTCCTGTAGATGCTAACACGAGTTTCCCTTGAGCACTAAAATCAGGACTAATCTGAGTAAAACCAGGTACGGCCCATCCCCCACAAAAAGGGTAACTAGGGATAAAGTTAGAATTCTATCTACAATGGAAGGCTTGTGTGAATATGCTGAAACATTAATTAGGCAATTATCATCCTTTGGAAGATTGGGACCTATTAGGACAGCAAAATACCAAAGTATTCATAATTAGTTTACTTGCTTTAAATGAAGTAGATTTGATATAGAACTACCTTTTTTGTTTAATTACTTTTGGGACCACATCAAGTGGTGCTTGGGGCTTACTCCTGGATCTGTGCTCATGGAGCACTCCTTGTGGTGTTCAGGGTACCATAAAGTACTGGGGATCAAATGAAGCTGAGGATCTTGCAAGGAAAATGCCTTGCCATATGTACTATCTCTCCACCAGTATTAGAAATAAATAACAAAAATCTGAATATTCAAACAACATTCAGAAATTAATGTGAATTTCAGATGGATTTGATCTAAGTCTCTGGCCATGCAAATGGCTTATGTGTGAAATATAAGATGGCTCAATGATATACTACTGGTGGATTCTACTACCAATTCCCATTTATATTTTATAATTTGGCAATTTCTATTGTTTCCTGCAGTTCACAGAGAAAAAAAATTCAGTGATGATTTTGACAAACTTTTCAAAACAGGTTTATCCTAAATACTATCCAAACTTTATGACTGCTGTTTAGGTTATAATGCAGTACAGTCTCAATGAAACCAGGATTTTGAGAGATCATGGTTTTAGGTTGCTACTTTTACTGGGGACAATTAGAGTTGAATTAGAAAAAGGCATGTTCTCTTTCTCTCCTCCCCCCCACCCTTGAATAGGAGCCACACCGGTAGTGCTGGATGGGGCAGAGAGCTGAGGGTGAGAATTGAGGCCATGTCCAGTGATTATTGACCCAGCATTGTGAGCCTGGTTGACTCTGTAATTGGGCCCAGAGCTTCTTGTTGACAACCAAGGTCACCTCTGTCAGTGCTCAGTTGCCATGCACCAGGGATTGCGCTCAGGGCACCACACATGCTAATCACATGCTCTCTACCACTTGAGCTACCTTCCTAGCCCAGGGACATGTGTTTTTGATCTCAGGTTTTACCATTAAGGCTTTCAAATTTCTGGTTTGGAGGCTCTAAGCATCACTGAGGTTTTGGGGGCCTTTCACATGAAGATTTAGAATCATACTGTTAAACCCTTTTTAATAAATACGATGTTCTTAAAGGCATATGAACTAAACTTACAAATCAATATAAAGTGGTATTAAATATACACTTTGGGGCAAAAATTAAATACCCTTACTGCCTTTTTTCCTTAATTGTTTACATCACATCAAAACTTCACGTTTAATAGAATGTGTCAGAGAAAAGGAATTAAGCTATAAGGGATTATCCTCTCCACTTTTAAAGATGAAATGTACTTGTACTCCTTTATCATATCAGATCTGAGTAGATAATAGGAAAAATTTAGAAGACTTTTGTAGAGCTGGGTCAAAGTCTAAAATGGAGGGTAAGTAAAAGAGGCAATAAAGTATACATGGACTGGGTTTGAATAGATGTGGGAGTGCTTGTTGTGGTAGGTGTTCACTGATTTGCTTGTCTAATTTACTTTCCTTTGTGATGCAAGGACAGTGACCATTATCAGCTTTATCAACCAGCTTCTTATGCTAGCTTCAGGTTGAGCTTAATACAAACTATTTAAAAATAAAATCAAACAATCAAGAGAGATGGCCATTGCCTCCTCCGTCTTGGAATTATGCTGTGAGTGGCAGCCATTGTTAATCAAAACTCAGAGCTCTTGATGGATGAACTAAAACTAAAACTATAGGACATTTCTTATTGGCGAGTGTTATTACTTTTTTGTCCTTTGAAGCATAGTGGTGATATTAATGGATTGTGAAGTATCTTCATGCCCTGGTTTCTGCAGATTATTAAGCACAAACTTTCATTATTAAATGCTACTCTTGTGAACCTTTCCAAGCATTTTGGACTTTGGTCTTTGGTCTTTAGTTTTGTCCAGGAACATAACTGACATATTATTACCAGGGGACTGGAGGAACTTCAAGAAAGCATTCAGAGGTGGGGTAAATTGCTAAGAAGGGTTTTAAAAGCTTTGATTTTTTCTTTTTTATATCTTAATGTAATTGAAGCATCACTTCATAAGTGACACTAGTAGTTTATTTTTTTTTTCTTTTTGCTTTTTGGGTCACATCCAGAGCTGCTCAGGGGTTACTCCTGGCTCTGCACTCAGGAATTACTCCTGGCAGTGCTCAGGGGACCATATGGGATGCTTGGAATCAAACCCGGGTTGGCTGCATGCAAAGCAGATACCCCACCCACTGTGCTATCACTCCAGCCCTGAGTAATTTATTTTTAATCAAAGTTTTATTAGGCATGTTCAGAATATTATTGAAATGATTGTTTTATATTTCATTATAGTGTTGATATACTAATACTGTCACTAATATGTCAAGTGTACTCCACGATTTTCCCATGATCTCCTCAACTCTATCTCCTTGTCCTCCATAGTTCCTAGTTCTATCGATCATGTTAGGTGTTGTTTAAATTGGAGATTTTCTAGCCCCTTCATTTTTTATACTATGCATAATTCCAACTTCAGTAAGTTATTAAATTGTTTAATTTCTTTGGTTATGTTTCTATTTCTTTGCTAGTGCATTCAAAATAGGACAGGGATATATCTGTCTCCTAAGATTTATATAACAAGAAGACACATAGGAAATTGCTGTATTGATTGTTGTAGATCCACAGAATCAGGAACATTATAACCTAGTGTACCTGCTAAGGTTCAATTGAAATTCAGTGACTCACTCTGGTATTAAAATAACTTTTATTGTCAGAGAGACAGGAAAATATTGTTAAACTTTTTAATTCATTCTATTAAAATTATAAAGAACAATTTTAAACAGTACAAAAACTCGAAAGTACAACTTTCAGGAAACAGTGTTTTTCTCCATATAGTATTTCTTGCAGTTCTGTCATAGAAATTTGGAAAAGTGAAATAAGTAACTCAGAAACTAATAACTTATAGGTATTGTTAGTATGTCCAGTTATTTGTCACAGAAATTAGAGGAAGTCCAATAATTATTTTAGTAATTGATGATTCTCTTTAGATTCTTAGTATTTCCTTTTAACATGAAACAGACATTGAGAAAAATCCAATAATCTTCTTTGAGAACTGGCTGATTATGTTCATCTTATGTTTTATTTAGATTAGCATTAATATTTAAATGTTATTTGAAAGGTGGACATAAATCAGGGGGTGATTTGTCTATCACTATAACATCTCATGTAGCTGAAATCTGAAACAGAAATTAGGAAGCATCTAGGAATTGTCTCTGATGAACTGGTGACTCAGTTCATTGTATTTTAGATTAAACTATATTTAAATATTTATTCCAGAGGTGGAATAAGCAGGTGACAATTTGTCTATTATAATTACCGCTCACACAGCTGTAATTTTGGAAGAGAAATTGGGATAAGTCCAGGAATTGTCTCTGATGAATTGATGACTCTGCTCCTTATGATTTAGATTAGCTTCAACTATATTTAAATATTCCAGACATGGACAAAAATTAGGTGACAATTTGTCTATCACCATAACTACCTGGAATTACGATCTCAATCATAACTTTCTTATTCATCAATGTCTACTACATTCCTGCGACAAATGGGACAGGTAATATTCTGTAACAGCCAGCGATTGATGCAATGGAGATGATATTCATGTAAGCATGGCAGTATGCAGATTTTATTGCCTTCTATGAACTCTGTAATGCATATACAACAGGTTTTTAATGCATCAAATTCACCAAACGGTCTTATATCCAAGTTGTCAATCTGTGCCTTAGTGAGTCCTGTAGATTGGTGCTCATCATTCTCATCTGCTAGAAGAAACTCATCCAGATTAAGGGAGGACCAAGAATCACTGTCATCAAACATTGGGCTCATTGGTCTTTCACGCAGGATCTCAGTTACTGCTCCTGGTGATAATGGTGTTAAGATATTTTCATTTTCTCCAAACATTAGTGAATGATTGTTTGAATAGTCATTGTTAGAACTGGTCATTGGAATAGTAGAATAACTATAACTGGACTCATAATCAAAGCTGAAATTAGAAACTGGTGTGGTATTTGAATAGAAATTATGGGTATGATTTTCTTCAGTAGTACTGGTACTACTCAAACCAGAAATAGTAAATATATTTGATAATTCTATTCCTTCTGTAGGTTGACTTGGGGATGACACACTAGTACCTACTTCATCATCATCCACTAGGTTATTTGTGTCATTACGCACTGTGCTTTCCGTTAGAACTGACGGATTATACATAAGAGAAGTTAGTAAACTATTAAAGGAGTATTCATTGGAAGATTGTGCTTCTGCCTGCTCAAAAGGAGACAAAGTATCCTGAACTACTTCGCTTTCTAAATTGACAGTGTTGATTTGTCTTTCAGATGTTAATTGACTTATACTAGCTTCACTGTCTTTCTGAGAAGATGCTATAAGATCAACCTCTAATTCTGAATCATAGAGTATTGTTGGGTATGCCTGTGGCAATCTCCTAAACTCCTCACTGCTGTTTTCATCTGGAGAATGGCTGCCTTGAATTGTATTTGTTGTTTCACAACTTGCTAAAAGACCACTATTTTGAGATTCAAGTGCAGTAGTTTCTTGTCTCAATGTTTCTTCTTGTTGAGTTATAAAAAATGTATCATCCTCATCTTCATCTTCCAGAGTATGCATAGGAAGTCCTGTTAAATGATAATGAAAACTTTCTAAGCTATCATTTATTCTACTTCTACCTGACCTATTTTCAATTCTTGATCTGACTCTTCGATTTTCTGGGCTTCTGCTTCTTGCTCTTCTCTGGCCTCTGGTAGATGGGACTTCTGTTAATATTTCAGTTGTACCTTGTTCTGACATAGATGACCTTGTAGACATCGATTCAAGTGGTAAAATTTGCACTTGTCTTTGGCTGTCTTCCAAATTTTCTTCACTCAGAAGTCTTGTAGATGTAGCACATTCTATTTCTTGATCTGGATTCTCATGTGCATTAAAATTTATGCTCATACTAACTCTAAAATCATCACTGTTTGGATTAGGCTCTAGAGAGCTTTCTCCCCAAAATAGGTTTGCTCTCTCTTCATCTCTCATGTTTCCAATTTCCTTATCATAACTAAGCCATGGTAACACAGAAGCATTACAACATTCAACATCTGAAGAGAGTTCTGCATCTGTTAATAAAAGTTGGGGGAGGAAAATGAACTACCATAGTTAGAACCATCATAAAATAGTACCTCGAGGCAGCTATTGCCCCCAACGCACCAATTTAACTTCTTAAACCAGGTGTGTGTGGACTCCTGTGGCCATCACACCCATCCCCCAGCTGGAACCCCAGGTCCTCTCCCAAAGGGAAGCTCTGCCTCCCAGAATCTCACCCAGGAACTGTCCTTCTTTGCCAGCTATCGCCCTCAATGCATGGATCTAACTTCTCAAACCACATGTGTGGATCCCAGCATTGCCCGAAGATCCACCCCTCATTGTATACCTTTAAAATATCTAACCCCAAAACTGCACACATGTAATAGCATCCGAGAGAAGTTACTTCAACTATACACTTCATTTGAGGTATTAGTTAACCCCCAGGCCTCACATTTCTTTACCTATCCATAACCCACAAAGACATCCCAACTGCAGTGGTCAAAAAATACATCAACACACAGGAATAAACTACAAAACAAAAATATCACAATGGGAAAACAATGCAGGAATCCACCAGGTATAGTGAGTAAAGTTGCTAGCCCAGATGAACCAAACAGAAATAATAAACTATATAACCTCTCAGATAATGAATTTAGAATGGAGCTGTTAAAGATGCATAAGGAGCTCAAAGAAGCAACGGAATGTACTCTTGATAAAATACAAGAGCATCTGAGAGCACAAATGAGGAAAATGCAAACGAAAATACAAGCAGACGTGACAGACCTAAAAAAATTGGTAGGTGAAATGGAAAACTCAGTGGAAGGCCTCAGTAACAGAGCAACAGCTGCTGAGGACAGAATCAGTGAGCTCCAAGATGAGGAGCAGAGAATTTCCAGACAACAGCAGAAAATGGAAAAGAGCCTCAAAATAAACCAACAGATATCAAGAGAAAATTGGGATAGAGCCAAGAGGAATAACATAAGAATCATTGGCATCCCAGAGGGACAGGAAGAAAACCCTGATGAAGAAGCAAATGTCAAAGACATAATTGCTGAGACATTCCCAGAGTTGGAGAGTACATGCACGTAGATTCAGGAGACCCAAAGGGTACTAAGAAAAGAAATCCAAATAAAAATACTCCAGGACACATCCTTATCAGAATGACAAAAACCTTAGATAGAGATAAAATTCTGAAAGCAGCAAGATCAAAGAAAGAAATTTCTTATAAATGAGCAACCTTAAGATTTACAGCAGACTTATCTGATGAAACTCTCCAAGCCCAAAGACAGTGGGGGGATATAGTGAAAAACCTCAATGAAATAAATTTCTCACCAAGAATATTCTACCCTGCTAGACTCTCATTCATACTTGAAGTAACAACACACAGCTATACAGACAGTCAACAACTCTGGAACTTCATAGACTCAAAACAATGGATGCCTGATAAACTAAATGGGCTACTTTAAGACTAGACAAGCCCCCCCGCCCAAATACACAAAACAACTACAGAAATATTGGGCCAAAACCCTTAACAATAACCTCTCTCTCAATGTAAATAGGCTAAACACACCAATTGAAAGACACAGAGTGACAGGTTGATCCGAAAATTGAACCCAATATTCTGCTGACTGCAAGAAACAAATCTGAACAGTCCGAGCAAACACAGACTTAAAGTCAAAGGATGAAAAATAATTCTACAAGCAAAAAACTTCATCAAAAAACTGGAGTAGTCATACTAGTATCAGACCACATAGATTTTAGACTGAAGACGCTTACAAGAGACAGCGAAGTCATTTCTTAATGATTAAAGGATCTGTACATCAGGAACAATTCACACTCCCAAATTTATATGTATCTAATGAGGGACCAGCAAAATACTTTAAAAAGTTGTTTGTAGACTTGAAGAAAGAAATTGATAGCAACAAAATAATTGTTGAAGATTCCAACACCACTTTATCACTTCTCAATAGATCAACCAGATTCAAGTTCAGTAAGAACATACTTTTTTTTTTCTTTTTGGGTCATACCCAGCGATCGGCGATGCTCAGGCATTAATCCTGGCTTTGTGCTCAGGAATTATTCCTGGCATTGCTCAAAGGATCATATGGGATGCTGGAAATCGAACCAAGGTTGGCCGCATGCAAGGCAAACGCCCTACCTGCTGTGCTATTGCTCCAGTCTCAAGGACATACTTTTTCTGAGGTAAGGAATGGAAGACAGAGCTTTAGTATTTATATGTGTTTGTGTGTAAGCACGTGTACACACACACACACACACAATACCCAACTGCCTCCACGCTCCAGGCCACTTTCCACATGCTCCGGCCAAGCCTCACACGTGAGTGAAGTCCCACGGAACACAGGTAATGCGGGACTTTGTGACCTTAGACTCTGGACTCAACAGGATCCGGGAGCAGAAATCCTCTGCCTGCTTCCCCCAGTCTGTAGTGACCCAGGGTTCATACCCTTAAGCCACCTCCTACCAGTGCTAGATAATCCCTTCATCGGCCACCTTCCAGAACTCATGGCTGCTTCTCCCAAAGGGAGCATAAAATGAGACCCCCATAACCGTGCTACTGGACTCTGCGCCAGGATGTTTCACTCAAGGTGCCCCAGAGGGGAGCAAGTGAGAGCCCTCCCCACCCCAAAGAACCCAGCCCTGGCAGGCGACCACCGCTACCTAACCTCTGCCATGTTCCAGGATGCTTTCCACATGCTTGGGCTGAGCCTCACATATGAGTGAACATATTCCTGGACACATTATAAGACACTCCCTACCCATTTTTCATGGTTACCACACCATGTTTCACAGGGTTCAGATAGTAGGCAACAAATCATAGAGGGATATATATATGTATATATATATATATATATATATATATAATGTAGCACTGTAGCACTTTCCTCCCCTTGTCCATCGATTTGCTTGAGCTGGTACCAGTAACGTCTCACAACAAATTGTGAGACTTTTTGTTACTGTTTTTGGCATATCTAATATGTCACGGGTAGCTTGCCAGGGTTTGCCATTGTGGGCAAGATACTTTCAGTAGCTTGCCAGGCTCTGTGAGAGGGACAGAGGAATCAAACCCAGATTGGCTGCATGCAAGGCAAATGGCTACCCGCTATGCTATTACTGCAGCCCATATATATAGCCACTATATGAGCAATAGCACAGTGGTAGGGCATTTGCCTTGCCCTCAGCCAACATGGCCGACCCGAGTTCAATTCCTCCGCCCCTCTCGGAGAGCCCGGCAAGCTACCGAGAGTATCTTGCCCGCACAGCAGAGCCTGGCAAGCTCCCCGTGATGTATTCGATATGCCAAACACAGTAACAACAAAGTCTCCAATGGAGATGTTACTGGGCCCCACTCAAGCAAATCAATGAACAACGGGAGGGCCTTTATATATATATATATATATATATATATATATATATATATATATATATATATATGGCTGGAGCGAAAGCACAGCGGGTAGGGCGTTCGCCTTACAAGCGGCCAACATGGCCGGCCCAAGTTCGATTCCTATGCCCCTCTCGGAGAGCCTGGCAAGCTACCGAGAGTATTCGATATGCCAGACACAATAACAACAAAAGTCTCCAATGGAGACGTTACTGGGCCCGCTCGAGCAAATCGACAATCAACGGGAGGGCCTATATATATATGAGATCCAAGGGCTGGAGCGATAGCACAGCAGTCGGGCACTTGCCTTGCACACAGCAAACATGGCTGACCCAAGTTCAATTCCTCCGCCCCTCTCAGAGAGCCCGGCAAGCTACCGAGAGTATCTCGCCCGCATGGCAGAGCCTGGCAAGCTACCCGTGATGTATTTGATATGCCAAACACAGTAACAACAAAGTCTCCAATGGAGATGTTACTGGGCCCACTCAAGCAAATCAATGAAAAACGGGACGACAGTGACAGTGACAGTGATGAGATCCCAGCAAGCTACCAAGAGTATCTGCCCGCAAGGCAGAGCCTGGCAAGCTACCTGTGGTGTATTCGATATGCCAAAAACAGTAACAATAACGGTCTCATTCCTCTGACCCTCAAAGAGCCTCCAATCCTGTTGGGAAAGATGAGTAAGGAAAGGCTGCTTAAATCTCAGGGCTGGGATGAATGGAGACATTACTGGCACTTGAGTAAATCAATGAACAATGGGATGAAAGTGATACAGTGATACACTGAAATATATATATATATATATTTATATAAAACATTTCATCCCCCAAAGCTGAGCACACATTTTTCTCAAGTGTGCATGTGACATTCTCCAAGATAGACCACACACTGAGCTACAAAAAACTGCCTCCATAAAATTAAGAGGATAGAAATTGTATCAATGAACTTTTCAGATCATGATGCACTGAAAATAAATGTGAATCACTCACAGAAACAAATTCAAATCAAACATCTGGAAATTAAACAGCTCACTACTGAATAACCAGTGGCTTAGAGAGGAAATCAAAGAGGAAATCAAAAGATTCCTGGAAACAAGAATGAAGACACAAGTTACCAGAACTAATGGGACATGGCAAAAATAGTGTTAAGAGGAAAGTTTATTGCTCTACAAGCCTTCCTCAGGAAGGAAGAGTGAGCCCACAAAAAAAGGGAACCCATGCCAGGCAGGTGGAAAGAAATAATAAAACGCAAAGAAGAAATAAGCAACATAGAAACCCAAAAACAATCTAAGAGATTAGTGAAACCAATAGCTGGATCTTTGAGAAAATAAGATTTATAAACCACTAGCAAAACTCAGAAAGGGAGAGAGAGAACCCTAATAAACAGAATCAGAAACAAAAAGGGGGACATCACAACAGAAACTACAGAAATTCAAAGGATAGAGATTACTTTGAGAAACTGTATTCCATGAAACAAGACAACGTCAAAGAAATGGATAAATTCGTGGACTCCTATAATCTCCCAAAGCTGACACAAGAAGACTCATAATACCTGAACAGACCTATCATTATCAGGGAAATTGAAGTAATAATCAAAAGTCTCCTGAAAACCAAAGGCCCTTACCCAGAT